TTATCATAACCACATATTTGACAATGAAGGAATGTTCTTTATATCTTTACGTGAAAAATCTTAAAAATAAAGCTGTACAAGAATGGTCTGTTATTTATCATAACCACATATTTGACAATGAAGGAATGTTCTTTATATCTTTACGTGAAAAATCTTAAAAATAAAGCTGTACAAGAATGGTCTGTTATTTATCATAACCACATATTTGACAATGAAGGAATGTTCTTTATATCTTTACGTGAAAAATCTTAAAAATAAAGCTGTACAAGAATGGTCTGTTATTTATCATAAGCATATTTTTAATGTGTTGAGAATAAAACTCCAGCAATATATATTTAGTAACTAAGTACTTAATTAATTTAAATTCAAATACTACACGTTTGTACAACACATTTAAAAATAAATAAAGTAAAACAAGAAATTTTGTGGAACAACTTAGGTACAGTTGTTGCATAATAAAGAGAGATAAGGCCTCCAATACCTCCTTCAACAACATCTTCAATATCAATACCAAGTTTTTCGGACATGTTTCCAAGAACGGAAAATATTACGATTCCAGCGATTAAACTTGTAAGGAAATCCAGAGAGCTAACGAACATGGCGTCCCTAAAGAAATAAAATCAGATTTAAATTCAATGAACGGAGTAATAACTTCTTTTAGTTTGATATGTGAATACAGAAATGATGATTGATATACAAAAACGTTGCATAGCAACACTGGTAATTAAAAAAAAGAAAACAAACTCGTTACAATTTGAACTTATGAGCAAGACACCTCATAGATAATCAACTTTTCCTGTATTAAAAATCATTAAAAACTTTCCAAGAAGTCAAATGTTTCAGCACGCAAAGAAAGGTTGAAAATTTGAGACTAGTTAATTAGTCTCTTAGGTAGAACACGAGGAAGGGTGGTACTATAGAACATTGTTTTATGTGATATGAAGTCTTCTTCGCCCAGACTTTTAAAACGTGTTTTTAATAGAAGTACTTCGCAGAATACCCCAAAGTGTTCTGTTTTAAGAGTAAACAAAACCAAAATTAAGACTAACAAATATTTTTATTTCTATGCCATGCTGTGTTGTAGTCTGCAGAGTGCATGATTCTTCTCGTTATTTTACTGACATCACGACAGTACACATTACAACGTTAAGCGTCCCCTATGTGACGTCATTTTAGTGTCTACTGACTAATTGACAGACAACACACTACTGTATAATGGTGCGAGTGGTTAAAACAGGTGGCCCCCTCCAAGCGTCCTTAGGCTCCTTTGGGGAAAATTAATCCCCTACTGTTGTCCACTCTTTGGTTATTTTCTAAATCCACCATTTGTAAAAAACTTTGAATATTGCATGACAGTGATGATTTTACACTGGTATCTTTGTTTGTTTATTTCAGAAATTCGCAAAGCTACACAAAGGTTATCTGCGAATAGCCGTCCCTAATTTTGGACTAATACACTAGAAGGAAGGTAACTATAGCCACAATCACCAGTAATTATTCTTAGAATACTCTCGACTGATAGAATAATGTGATTTGACCATTACTCTTACAACACATTCACGGCTCCAAAGTGCGGATCGCGTTTTTGCGGTAACAGATCACTGTCAAAAATTTGACAATTTATTATATTATATATATATATATTCTCCAATTGTCAAAATAAAAAATGTTTTCAGTTATATTTCCTAATAGTATAAATATATACTATGTTGTTATTGGGCTTAGGATTCTTCTACAGTAGGTGTCTGTGACTTGTTAGCGATAAATTCAACGAAAATAAACAGCACGCACTTCACTTGTTTTCAAAATAACATATATATTCAGAACAAGTTAACGTATGTATAACAAATTCTTCAACCTTATAGATATTATAGGCATATCATAAACATTATTTATGTAGTTCTCTACTTGTCAAATATGTACTTAGGTATATTCAATTACATTAGAATTTCAGTTGACAAGCCGAACTATCTTCTCTATTTCTATTGTACTATTAATAGTACTCTCTGTGATTCACTTACAGTTATGGCGCGAGTTACCGTAATCGTTCAGTTTTCTTTCTTTTGAAGATCCTCTGTTTTGTCAAAGTGCACTCAGACTGATTCAATTACTTTAGTACCACACTTTAACGGAATAAAATTATTTTTCTTATCTCCTTTTCTACTGGACCCGGCATGGCCAGGTGGTTAGGGCGCTCGAAGAGTGGGATTGAACGCCCCTACTGCTGAAAAGGCGAGCATGTTTAGTAGGATGGGGATATGAACCCGCGACCGTAGATTACGAGTCGAATGCTCTAACTGTCTGGCCATGCCAGGCCGCATCTTCGGAGTAAGAAAAATATATAAAGCTAAAACAAGGGACCCCCAATAAAAAAGTACATAATTGTTATCATACTTTTAACATCTAAATACGCTTTTATTTGGTCGCTATGTTTATATAACATTGTGTAGAATTGTTATATGAATAATCGGTTAATATTAAAAACCCGACTATCTTATACTTCTGAATTAAGTCATAATGTAACGTCCCCAAGTGGCACAGCGGGATGTCTGCGGACTTACAACGCTAGAATCCGGGTTTCGATACCCTTGGTGGGCAAAGCATAGATAGCCCATTGTGTAGCTTTGTGCTTAATTACAAACAAACAAAATGTAACTTTAATCAATATATTTACAAGTTTGGTTGTGCATTTTTATCTACGAATTAGACTGTTTATTTAGTCTTTTACTTCAAACTCTCAAGTTTATGATTAATGTTACAATTGTGCGTTAAAGAGCTGTGAACTCACCTGTAAACTTTGTTATAAAACTTGTTGTAGCTGCCAAACATAATTAAACCTCCCGAAGCTACACTCAATGAAAAAAACAACTGCTCAGCTGCTGCCCTCCATACCTGAAATTTGATTTAAATTTTGAAACTCTCTTAATGATAAGCACATGAAATAATACCATTTAACCTTTCATGTTGATCAGCTGTTTATAACTCTGATTAATACAGTACAAATAATTCGAAAAAAGTATCTTGAAATATCGAAGAATTTAGTGATAATTCATTCAAAAAAAAAAATCGGTTAATCGCGTGTTTTCACACACACACAACTTGTACACTTAGGTAACTTACGGTCACATCTTTTAGTTTTTCCCATTGAGGAATAAGGAAGTATCGAAGACCAATTCCAGCGCCATCTAATATCAAACCCCGAATCAGTAGAATTATTAGAATTAGATAGGGAAAGGTAGCAGTAAAATAGACAACCTAGAGAAGAGGAAATATTATCAACTGATTTCTTTTAATACAGAGAGAAAATCGCAAAAATATTTAACCAATAATAATTACAATAACATACTTAATTCTAAACTATGTTGTGCAAGTTACCATATTTCTTATGTTTTTTTTAAATTATAAATCAGATCAAAAATTGAAATTCAATGGTGTAGTGCTAAATATTATAGGGCCGGAGCCCTGCCAAAATTTTTCAGATGTGTGACGTCACTATCAGGGTAAATATTTCATATTCAAAACATAATTTCAATTTTGACGAAGTCTAGTCACGAGTAGTTTAGCAGGTTTGATATATTTACAATGTTAAAAACAGTTGATCTTTTTGTTTTAACACACACACACTCAAAAATGATAATTTTCATTGAATAACAGAGAATAGAATATTAGTCAATGCTAATATTGTCAAGAATTTAAGACTTGTGAGCTTTTGTAAACGTTCATAGGTATAAACGTTTTTAGCGTTTATTAATCGAAGTGCCCACCAGTGGCACAGCGGTATGTCTGCGGAGTTACAATGCTAGAATCCGGGTTTCGATACCCGTGGTGGGCAGAGCACAGATAGCCCCTTCTGTAGCTTTGTGCTTAATTACAACCAATTACAATTGCTAATCAAACTTCCACTAGGTATACATTTTGTGAACTGGTTTAAAATTTAATGACAAATTAAGGAATATAAAAATGTACTAGTCTACTTAACGTGTTTGTGCATTTATAGACATAACAGAGGTACGTTGGAGAGCATGATTCGTGGACCACGTAACATTTTCAAGAGATGTATAGATATTTCACTGTAGTATTGTATATAATATATCTTTATTATACAATAAATAACCATCCGAACAAATGGCGTAAAATACTGATATATATCAATACCAATTTCTCAATATAAAAACATGAACAATTTTACTGTTATAATAAAAACTGAATAATTTGATATTTAAGATAAAACATCCATTTATGTACGAATATTTGTATATAACATTATATAGAAAGCAAAAACAAATAAAAAAATCCAACAAATAGTGTTTTGCTCAAGGACTTACAGTAGTCTGAATAGTAATTATATCATGTTACACATAAGAGGACATACTTAGCTGTTACACATAATAAGGTAGATTCTCCTGTGACACGTAAGAAGACAGACATAACTATTACAGATGAGAAGACAGACATAACTATTACACATAACAACACAGACATAACTATTACACATAAGAAGACAGATTCACCTGTTACACATAAGAAGACAGATTAACCTGTTATACATAAGAAAACAGACTCGTTTGTAACACATAAAAAGACAGACTCAACTGTTACACATAAAAAGACAGATTCACCTGTTACACATAAGAAAACAGACTCAACTATTACACATAAGAAGACAGATTCACCTGTTACACATAAGAAAGCAGATTAACCTGTTATACATAAGAAGACAGACTCATTTGTAACACATAAGAAGACAGACTCATTTGTAACACATAAAAAGACAGACTCAACTGTTACACATAAGAAGACAGACTCAACTGTTACACATAAAAAGACAGATTCACCTGTTACACATAAGAAGACAGACTCAACTGTTACACATAAGAAGACAGACTCAACTGTTACACATGAGCTGCT